AGCAAGATACACTTGATCCTCAATTCGAGAGGAGGATCGATCTCTCCCAAATCTCTAGACGCCGCTAGAGCCCAAAGAAAACCTAAATCTAAGAGATCTCAAATTTCAGCCAAATTCAAGATGCCCAAACCCTAGGAAAAACATCTATTTAATGCATACAAATCAAAAGAAATTCACTAAACAGTCCCTACATTCAAATTTCTCTCTGAAATCCCCCAAAAATCCTTCCTAAAATGATCTGTTTGAGCGGTCGGGCCGCTCGTTCTCCGCTAGGAGGCGGAATCTCCGCTGTTTTGCGATTTCCGCCCGTGAACCGGTCCAGTGGACCGGTCTAACATCTTATTATTGATAGTACAAATAAATGTTAAAATATGTCCTATTGTTGCTTTTGTGTTGTGATTTTTTTGCCTGTGAATAAATAAAAATCTTGTATATATCAAAAATTTGATGTTGATTATTCATTTCTATAAATTATTAGAATGACTAGTGGCACAAAAAGGAAAGACTCTGCATGAAAATATGGAACTCAAGTTGAAATGTCAGGCAAATGTGCAAAGAAGAGATATGTTTACATGAAATGTAACTTCTATAAGAAATACATAACTAGTGGAGTCAAGAGGTTAAAGGATCATCTAGCCTGCACTCATGTCAATGTGGGACCATGTGCAAAAGTACCTGATGAGGTGAAAAAGGAATGTACATATTATTTAAAGAAGTTTGTCACCACAAAGGAGGTCACACAAAGAAATATGGAATAGATGATAGGAAACTCTTCTTACTATAGATCATAGCATGAAGGTTCCAGTAGTGAAAGCCATCTAGTTTCTTCTAACCGAAGCAATCGGGATCCCATGGATAGATTTATGATAAATATTGATGACGATGATAACATAAACACTCAGGATCTTCAGCCTCCTACTGCTACAAAAGAACTTAGGAACATAGTTTGTTTCGATATTGCCAGATTCATCAATGAAAATGGGATTCCATTTAATGTTGTTAGGAGTCCGTCATGGATCAATATGTTACGATCTGTTGGAAGCTATGGAAGAAGACTACAACTTTCAAGTATGTATGAATTGAGGACTTGGATGCTAAATGAGGAAGTCAAGACAACTTCAAAAATGGTGGATGATGTTAAGTAGACTTGGATTGAGACATGAGTTACAATAATGCCAGATGATTGGTCAAATATTCGACATAGAAGTATTATTAATTTCTTGGTCAACAATCCATATGGAACAGTTTTTCTAAAATCAGTAGATGCTTCAAGTTTTATAAAGGATGCACAATTAATGTTTGAAATGTTGGATGAAGTTGTTGAGAAAGTGGGTGATGCTTTAGTGGTACAAGTTGTTATTGATAATGCAAGTGCATATAAAGCTGCATGGAGAATGTTAATGGAGAAGAGGCCTCACCTTTACTGAATTCCTTATTCTGCACATTGCATTGATTTAATGCTTAAGAGGTTGGGACAGTTCCCTCAGCATAAATCAGCCCTATTGAAGGCCAAATTCGTTAGTAAGTTCATATACAATCATTCTTTGGTACTCAATTTGATGAGAAAATTCACTGACAATGAAATTATTAGACCTACTGTTACGAGATTTGCTACTGCATATTTAACATTGCAGAGATTCAAGGAGTTAAGGTAACCTTTGGAAGATATGTTTGCTTCTAAAGAATGGGATAAAAGTTCAAGGGCAAAAAATAAGAAGAAAAACATATAAAAAAATTGTTATGAAAGATGATTCATTTTAGTGCAGTATAAATTATGCTTTGAAGACAAGAGTACCATTAGTTAAGGTGCTTAGAATGGTTGATGGTGAGAGGGCCCCGACTATGGGATTTATTTATGAAACAATGAATAAGGCTAAAGAAGACATTGCAAAAGATCTGGGAGGTCAAGAAAGTGTCTATAAAGAAATATGGAATATTATAGATGAAAAGTGTGATCGTCAATTACAACAATACTTGCATGCTGCTGCATACTATTTAAACTCTCAATTTCATTATGATAAAGACTTTCATGTTGATAAAGATGTGAAAAATAGTTTGTATGCATGCACGGACAGACTGGTTATTGAATAAAACTACCTCAAAGTAATGATCAACTTGAGGAATTTCATTTGAAGAAGGGAATATTTGGATTTAGAGCAGTACAAGCATGCTACAAAAATGATCTCCTAGAATGTTTATAATTTGTATATTTAAAATTTTAATTTTAATATTTATGTTCAAGTCTTGTACTTCAATCAATATTCATAAAATACTATTCATTTTCATGTAGAACGTTGGTGGAGTCAGTTTGGAGATGATATTCTTAAATTCAAAGCTTTTGCAGTTAAAGTTCTTAGTCTAACATGTTCGGCTTCTGCATGCGAGCGTAATTGGAGCATCTTCAACCAAATTCATACTAAGAGAAGAAATTGATTGGCGACAGATCGAATGAACAAACTAGTTTATGTTATGTTTAACAAAAAACTGAAAGATGGACATCTCAAATTACAGAAGCAAGAAAGCATTGATAATGAAATTGACTATTTACTTGTTGATGATTTACAATCTGATGATGAATGAGTTACTCCTAAGCATGTTGATGTTTCTGAAGTTGAGCAGAAGCAGAAACTCATGTCAATGAAGATAATGAAGCAACTACTCATGTATATAAAAGAAAGAAATAAAATGAGATTGAAGTTTCAAAAAAATTCAAAGGTATTCTTAAATATAATGAATTATTATTTATGTTATTATTATTTCATTCTATAGCTAATAAAATATTAACTGATATAGGGGATAAAGGAAAAAATATTATAAATGAAGAAGAGTTTGAGGATAACTTTGACATTAAATATGAAGATTCTTCTGAAGACAATCAAAGTAATGATGAGCCTGCATTGGGTTTTGATCCTAAAGGGATGTTTTATTTTTAAGCGAATTTATTTTAAATCTTCTTTTCCAATAATACACTAATATTATCTTAGAACAAATCATCAAATTTACGATTGATATAATATTTTATTATTTTTTATCATTATTCATAATTTTAAATTACTTTATTTTTATTATTTTTTATTGAGGCTTACGCCTCGATCCGCCTCAAGGCTTACGCCTCGCCTCGCTTAACCAAAACGTCTTGATTCCCAATTTCGCCTTTTAAAATGTTGGTTCTATTAAATCTCCCTTACTCCAGCTAGCTGAGAGAGGCGCAAAGAGCATCAAAGCCTATGCATGAATTCGGTGATTCAACTTAAAGTTCTCCTTGCAAGATGAAAGAGTCCTTCAAGGATTCGGTAGTGTTTATTTGGGATAACAAAGCTTGTTGGCGGCACTACATAGGTGGCTAGCAAACTACAGGCATAGTGGGTGGGCTTGTTATTGTGAAAGAATGTCTAATTTTTTATATGTTGTAGTTCAATTTGGTAGGAGAAGAAAAATCAGAAGGGACTTGTGCATTGGATGATTGAAATATGAATAAGAGACAAGAAAGGGAAAAGAAAGAAAATAAGAGAGGAAACCTTCAAGCTATTATTGTTCATTTCTTTGATTTAGTGAAAACTATAATCACACTATGCAAACATAGAAATAGGCTTGTTATAGTAGAATTGCACAAATTTTTAATGTTCTTTTATGATGTCGACAACTTTTGTTCTTATTGTTTGGCTCATTGTATTCGCTTGTAGATGATTTCTTGGCATAAAAGTAAGTGATTTTCTAATATGGTCGTTATAGCACACATCATAAATTAGGCAATTGGAACAAACAAAATCAGTTGTTATGACGGTTGCATGCAATTTTATGGAAGAGATTTCAGAACAGCCAACCATATCTGATTCCGTAGTTAGATATTTACTTAAAGAAATCCAAACAATATTAGCATTCAATATAGGAATTCAGATATCTGAAAAAAAAAAATATTCCCCACAAATATGTTACCACAATAAAATAATTAATAACCCAGGCTAAAATCATTGTAAGTTTTTACCTTGCGGGCAATTTTTTTGAAAACTGTCTCGCTGAAATGTGGGAGTTGCAAGAAGGCAGCTATTCCTTCCGAATTCCCCCCACCTGCTTTTCTCGCACTGAGTGGAACAGCCTGCGCCAAAATAGAAGTATCGATGCATGCTTTGCCAAAATATTAAATTTAAGAAATTTCAAGAGCAAGAAATCTCATGCACTACTATTTTCTCATGTTCTAAATTTGGAATGGTACTAAAGAATTCAAATATGAAGCTGTCCATGAATCCAATAGCATGTTGGTGCAAAAGCATACTAAAAAAACAATAAATTTGGCGGCGCAAATACTTGATAAAGGAAACAACATTGGATAAAACTATTCAAGCATGCCATAATTTTTTGTCTTACACCTAGATTAGGAATTTATAAATAAAGATTATGCTTTGAAAGTTGAAAGCATTCTGACCGTAAACATTCTCACAACCTGTGTAGCTAACACGACTATGTACTACATGAAGGCGTAGGTGCAAAACCTGAACAATACTTTGTGAAAGCTCAACCACCCCAATCGCAGGTCTTAACCATCCATGCCCCAGAGGAGTGCGGGGTAGAACAGCTATCTGGATACAAACAACATGTGATGAGCATATATAGCAATTAAATGGGAACTAAATACAAGCAAGGCACAGGATATTAAAAGAAAGCATCAAATATATATAAGACACTATGTTGCACCGATACGGATACGGGACATGGAAATTCTTAAAAATACAGTATACGGATACGGCACGGATACGACATTATAATATATAAATCATACATAAAAAATAACAAAGTAATCAAATCATAATATTTGAAATGACAAAAAAAAATTGAAAGCAACATCATTTGAAGTATTGTATAAGTAAGCATTAAATATTTAAATGTCTAGTACAACAACAAAAACATAAATTATCCAGCAGATGAAGTTTCAACTATTCAATAGAAGGAATGATAGGATTAGCTTCTTCAGTGGTTTGTCATTGAATTTCTATATCATCTTCAATGAATATCATAGCTTCCAATTCAGGCTCATCAAGTAAAAGATTAGCAATTTCTTATTGAGACACCAATGTTGTTAAGGTGCATGCGCCATGGCAACTACTTTCCAGTTGCATTTGGTGGTACGCCCATTTCAGTACTAAGCCATTGCAGGTTTGAGGCAAGATTTGCATGGCTATGTTATAGCAACAAAAGACTTCAACTTCATACGTCAAAGTGTTGAAGAAAATATATAAGAACAACATGTAAGTTTAAGATATGCAAAAAGCTAAATGATGATTCAACCAGCTAAAGATGTTCAACACAGAATCTTATTAATTAACTATAGTTTCAGCACAATCAAATCTGTCAGCATATCTTCCTACCTCCCATCACTCACCAATCAAAAAAGCTAAACTGAGAAAAAAAATACCAAATATTTGGTTATAAGATTTACTTTCCGCAAATCATCCACTCAAGAAAAGACATGCCTGCCTGTGGATTATTTATTACATCGTTCTAAACTAATAAAAAAAACAGCTTTGAATTATGTGACTCTTACGCGCTATAATGAAATTTTTTTTAAAAATAGCTTCTTAAAGTGAAAAAAGTTCCAGCACACAAGTCATAAATGTTAAACACTCGTAAAATAAAAAAATGCCTTGCAAGATGTAGTGTTTTATATGCATCATCAACTAGAAGCATTCATCATTCAGACTCATTGCTGTTATTCAATTAAAAAATACTCTGCGGATTATCATTGAAAGAATAAAGAAGAGCTCCAAAAGAAGCATCAAAAGATTTCACAAATGTTCCCATATAAGGGATTACATTTTGAACTATATTAAATAGATATTACTTACTGAGGTCCGGAAGAATCAATAATAATTGAAACTTAATAAAAATTAATGCTATCCAATATAGTAAAACTTAAAGAGTTCTAAATCAAATCCATTAAAAGCACCTTGACAAGTTCTTCGAGAAGACGAGGTGCAAGTTCAAGCATCCGCTTGAAATCACTAAACAAAGAAGAAGATAAACTGGCTGACTCACGTGTCAATTGTGCTTGAACCAAGAGTTCCATCTGGATTTAATTATACAACAGTAAGTACATCAACGTTGATACAGCCATATTAATTTACAAATTATCAACAGAAAACATCCACCTTAACCAACGCAGGATGTTGTTTCCAGAACTTAGCTTGCTCTGTCTTGATATTCTTCAGGTCCAAATTCAACTCGCTTCGAACTGCCACAAATAACTTCTGAAGAGGTTCAGTATCACTTCTACGGATAGGCATTTCCACATACTCTGCGGCCTTAATGAAGACATCCATGACCTTGCTGATCATTAAAATAGGCCAGGTCAATACGAAAAATTCATGGCAAAAAGTACAAATCAATTAGGATATGTATATTCTAAAAAGAATATCAAGATTTGATTAAAACTGATGAAAAAAAAATTTGTTCAAAACGAGAATCTAGCGATAAGCCAAGGTAAACCAGAAGTTTAAGCCATTTGTATCCGAGAAGAAAGTATAATTATTAAATAAGGCCTAAGATTAAATTTTGAATATTTTCCTTCATACTACAGTTTCAAGCTATCAAGACCTACTTGTTTAATATGTTTTTTTCCTCAAAGGAAGTGGACCACCTAAAGTCTTAGCAATAAATATCTCATCCAAGTAATTCCCAGGAGGTAGAATATTCAAATAATAGTTTCGGTAATATACCTGATCAACTTCTGCGGCTCCATCATTTAGGTGCATTCAGGTTTACATCATAGCTATTGTTCTGAAGAAGCATTTGTTATAACATGATTGTTTTCTTTTTAGGAGCCATGGATGGATTCCGTAATTTTCAAAGTTTTTAACAGGAACTTTGAAATCATGGTTCCTCCATCTATAAATCTAATTCTTTCTACAACAACAACATCAAGCCTTTATCCCACTATATGAGGTTGGCTACATGAATCCTTTTTCTCCATTGTGTCCTGTTAAGAGTTAAATTCTCATTTAAAACTAATAAAGAAATGTCATTTCTAATATTTTCTAACCAAGCCTTTTTAGATCTTCCTCTACCTTTCTTAGCATAAGTCAAATCTATACATCTAATTTCCTAACAAGGTCATCGGAAGGCCGTCATTCTGTGACCAAACCATTTAAGGCGACTCTCGCTAATCTTATCTTCCACTGAAGCTACTCCAACATTTTCACGTATATGCTCATTTCGTATCTAGTCTCTAAGAATAAAGCCACTCGTCCACCTGAGCCCTCATCTCTGCAACACTTAATATTATGCTTCTCTTTTAATGGCCAACATTCTGCACCATAAAACATTGCAGGTCTAACCGCCATCTTATAGAATTTTCCCTTAAGTTTGAGGAGAACTTTTCGATCACACAACAAGCTCGATGCATTCCTCCACTTCAACCATCCAATTTGAATTCTACTGAAAATATCCCCATCTATTTCACCATCACTCTAAACAATAAACCCAAGATATCAAAAATGTGTACTTTTATTAATGACTTGATCACCCAAAGTCACAATCCTCTCACTAGATCTATTATTAATAAAATTACATTTCATATATTCAATTTTAGATATACTCAACCGAAAGTCTTTAAACTCTAAGGTTGACCTCCATAATTCAAGTTTACTTTCAACTCTTTCTCTAGTTTTATCAACAAGAAGAATATCATCAGCAAAAAGCATACACCAGGGTACAACCTCTTGCAAATGTCTAATGAGAACATTCATGACTAAAGAAAAAAGATATGGGCTTGAGTCTGATCCTTGATGTAATCCAACTGAAATAGGAAAATACTTGGTCAAACCACCATGTGTTTGAACCAAGGTTTAAAATTGCGTAACTGCGCCTCGAGGCGCTTTTCGTCCGTGAGGCGAGGCGTAAGCCTCACGAACACAGAATTACGTAAATGAAAAATTAAGGGTTTAAGCAGGAAAATAATAGCAGTAGTGGAAAATAAGAATGTAGATGCAATAAAATCATGTCCCAAAGTACAAAATCACAAAATATTAGTTTAACAAAACTCCCAAAATACAAAAAACATATAAAATGAAATCATATCCCATCACTAAATGGGTCTTCAAGTGAATCTTCTTCTCCAATTGTATCTATGAATGTCATGTCATCTTCATCTTCAACATGACTCACTTTTCTCTTCCCGTTCATTAAGATAAAAGATCATTATCATGTATTCATGTTCATTGCTCACTTGACATAAATGTAATGTAATAGCATATAAGAAGTTGTGGAATACCTTTACTTGATTGTTATGCTGCAAAGCTAGTGGATGTGCCAACTGCAGTACTAGTGGATGTGCCAACTTGATCTGCTTCGCCCCTCAAGACATCCACACTTAGATCTTCTAACTGTAAGTCTGATAATGGCAAATCTGTCTCATCATCTATGAACCACTCATTATCAGACGACACATCATCACACACTAATGGGTCCTCATCATCCTTCAACCCCTTATTCCTCAACCTCCTCTCTCTCAACCTCTTGTTGTGCATAATATATACGAGAGAGTTCATTCTGAGTGTTGATAGCCGATTTCTTCTCTTTGTTTGCACTTGACTATATGTACTCCA